TTGCAACAAATCAATTATGGCAAATAAGCTTCTTTCAACTAATTTGGAACGATTTCTAAGACGGATTAACTCTCCGCTTATGCGTTAATAGCGCGAATTATATCGCGCGTTAATTGTCCCAAAATGGCCAAAATGGCAATATTTGAATTAGTATATGGTATGACGACTGTGGTATATTTTAGCAAAAAATACTTCCCTCAATTTTTTCGTGATACATGAAATTTTGAAAAAACAAAAAGCGATGTAGCCGGGGAAGCTGTGGAAACAACAAAAAAATGTGACAGCAGGAGCACCTAAAATATGTTCACAGAGCGTAAAAACAACGCAAAATTCATTTCACAGCATTTTTTTAGTTTTAAAGCCAAAAAATTTTAAATAGCCAAGATTAATCAGCACCAGTATGTTGAACAAAATTGAACTGGTGCAACCAAATGTGACAAAATTTTTGTTCTTCAAAAAACAAAAAAATTTAAAGAGCTGAGTTATCACGTCCTTTTTAGCCGGAAAATTTATGTGTCTGTCGAGATACTTCATCTTCTGGTGCAACTTGTTTAGAATTTGATTAGAAAAAAATATATTTGCTGTATGTTGATTTTGATACGCATAAACGAAAGATTTAATTGGAATCTACGAATAGAAACTATTCGTCACGTAGACGCCTTATTATGTGATTACTCAAAATATGAAAAAAAAATTACTAATGTAAAAAAATGGTTATGGCGGCTGCGACGTTTTGGGACCAAATTTTGTCCTAATTTGTTTGAGATCTGTCGGTAAATTGAATTAAACTCAGTTATCTTCTTTGCGTAAAATTACTTCAATATTTTTGACACTTGCCTTGACATATACCTTAGGAAAAAAAAACAATAAGGCAAAAATTTTTTGTGTTTATTGCAAAATGATCACAAAAAAATTTTAGTTTCAAAGTCTTGAAAATTGCAAAAATAAACTCATACGTTTGTCTTCGAAAATTTTTTAAATATCCAGTCAAGATCTCATTAATTCTTACTGCTTAGATCTCTTCAATTTTCTGGTGCGAACATTTTTTTCTTACTCAAAAATTGGAAATGTTTGTGAGCTGAAAAATCCCGTTTTGTTTTACCTTAATATTAAGTTGATCTCATGTCGATACCCTAATTTAGATTATTTAAAAATACTCAGAGTATGTCTGCTACAAACTACTAAACTGGATGGTGTGTATGGGTGGTGACTTGTATGGTGTTCCTCGACAGATGATTTTGAGACCAATTCTTCTCTTAGTTCCTAGTTGAGATCTATCGCTAAAATGTAAGGAACTCAGACAACTGTTGAAAAAAGTCAGAAGCTTTTTGACGCTTGCCAGTCCTTTTAAGTAGATATGCAAGTTTTTTTGACAACGGAAAATAGCTGGCAACAAATCATTTATCTGATCACAAATTAGAAGCGTTCAGAGCCTTGAAAAATGGCGATTTAGCCAAATATTTACAAAACAATAAACGGCAGGCTTAGTAGTGGTCATCTTAGTCCAATGTTAGTTAGTTCTTCAATTTAGTTAAAGAAATAGTTTTTAAATTGAGAATAACTCAAGGAAGATTTTCCCAAATTTTATGTTGCCGAAAAAGTTTGAAAGTTTTCGAATCCAGGTCACGCATCGGTAATAAGGCGTTACTAATATGAAATATTTTGATGAATTTATTTTTTTCTACCATAAGCTTAGACCAAATTGAAAAAATTACTGTGTTCTCAACAGTATAGCAAAAATGAGAATAACTAGAACAAATTTGCTAACATTGAACAATCTTTTTTAAACAAATCTACTAGACCGTTGAAAGTCGAATGTTTACAAATGCCAGTATCACATTTTAGAAACTGAACAACTCTTTCTGGAGCTCTTGGCGAGGATAGGGATCAAATGATAGGGATAAATTTTTAAGTTTTTCCTTTTATTTGTACATATTTTCAAATTGGCGTATAAAACTTATATTTAAAAAAAAAAATGTGCCGAAAATGGCAAAAATGAGGTAAAAAGTTGCTGGAAATTTTCAACTGCAATAATGCTTCTAACTGCAAGAACTTATGCCCACCATAAGGATAGTTTTCAGTTTTCTTGTAAAATATTGTTTTGAATGAGTCTTTTTCATAATTAAAACTAAGAAGCTTTAAGCAAAGTAGACCCCTAACTAAAAAACTACAATATGACTTTTAAATTGAAACTTGATACCAAAGTTTGAAATCAAAATTTACGGAAATTTGATTGGAAATTTGAATGGAAATTTGGCTAATTATGTGATAAATGACCGAGGTTTATTAGTGTACACAACAGGGGCGTATTTGGGATTTTCAAAAAAATGTCGAAAATTTTGTCGACCTTTTTTTTAGATTGATCAAATTGATTTTCCGAGCTCTGCCAAAGCACTAAAGAGACCCTGTTTTGGGCAAATTTTTTGCGCTGCAGGCAAAATTTTGAAAAAACTGGTCAAAAAAGCCGTTTTTGGGCACTTTTTGGAAAAATTTGACAAAAAAACGCGTTTTTTTTGGCGCGCGCTCCCCCTCAAAATTAGTATATATTGGCGCCAAAGGCGCCTTTAGAAAAATCTTAGGGTCGGTCGGCCAACAATGGATTTCTGAAAAAGTATCAAAGGGGGGACCCTTTGGGTCGGCAGGGGGTCGAATCCCTGAGGAGGGGGGGGGGGTTTCTTTGATAGAAGTTTTAGCAATCAGCTTCGGAAAAAAAAACGGGATTCTCAAAAATCACCGCGCTGCGGCAAGTATGCCCGCAAAATACGCAGACAGATAATAATCTGATAAAATGAACACTTTTCAAATAAAATCATAGGTACCGACTGATTCCGACTATGACCTTCAGAATCTTTCCGGCCGAAAATAAGATGTGCGACGAGCAGTGTTCTCACTTTCAGAATTAGTATATATTGGCGCCCAAGGCGCCCTTTGAAAAATTTTTAGGGTCCGTCAGCCAAAAATGGATATCTCAAAATAGTACAAAGGGGGAACCTTTGGGTCGACAGGTTGTCGAACACATGAGGAGGGAACGTCAACCCCCGCCCCCCCTAAATTCGCCCCTGGTACACAAACACCAGCTATTGAAGATTCTCTTATTCAATTTTTTTAGTTTTCGTTCTGATACGATTTGTAAAGTAATTCCTCTATGTACAATTCTTTCAAAAGAAATATTCCAAGATTCCAAGATAGCAATTTTTTTCGCACGAAAAACAATGAAATTTGAACAAAAATTTTAAAGCGGGGCATAAAAACATTTTTTTCAGTTAAGACAAAAAACACAAATAGATATCAGAAACTAGTAAAGAATTAAATGGGGTATTGAGAAACTCACTAAAAGTAGACGTTTGCCGCTGTCGCAACATTTGCTGATTGTTCTTTTTTGTTAAAAATGAAGACTACATTAACTTAATTGATTTTGCGTCTTTTGCTGTTCAGCAAGTAATTTTTTGACAAAAAGTACCTAAATGTTTATAATCAGTTACTGCAATGAAGGCTTGTGCGTGAATTTTTCCAAATAATTTTAATGTTAATTATTTGAAAAAAGAAACAAGAAGTTTGAAATTATATTAAAACTCATTCGAATTCAGTTTTTTTTATTTTAGGGAATATAACTAACTGCTTAAGATCAACGTCTTAAGCGTTTTATTTATTCGAAAACGTTGGTACTAAAGTTTTCAATTTGACCAACAATTTAACTAGGGCCATTTCATTTTGCTGATTATAATAATCAATTCTTTATAGTGATTCAATAAGTAGATAACAATCATTTCTATTTGGCTACGTTCAAATTTAGAAAAAATTTTGAAATGGACCCGAGCAGTAGCGGAATTAGGGGTTGGCCGCCAAAAAAAACACAGCCATAAATGATCTTTGGATTGAAAAAAAAAAACGTTTCAGAGATTTAAGCGGGATTGGACACAATTGAGTTGTATTCTTAGGTCTAACTCATAGAGTAATTTCAATTAGGGTACACCGTCTGCTCGTCACTGCTCGTCGCACATCTTATTTTCGGCCGGAAAGATTCGTCAACTTCTTAGTCTAATACCGATCTTAATCTTACTCTTATATCTGCTAGTCTCAATTAGTCTCAATAGATCTAGAGTATACTGGTTAATTGCGAGTAGGTCGTAGGTCTCTAGGAGAGGCAACTAAGTTCTAAGTTAAATTCAAAGCTCTCTGTTGCTGAATTTACAAGTAATTTCAGCACTTACAAATAAGTGGGTTGTTAGTTCGATGGAGTATGGTTGGTTAGTATTAAATATTTTATAGTGATAAAAAATCTAATTTATAACCAATAATAAAATCATAGTTTAGATCTGGTTCCACAATGGACAGTTTTTGGGACTCTGCAGCACGTCTCTATACAAAACTAGTGGTATCCATTTGTAGAGTTTTTGCAAAGCGAATGACCTTTTGTACCATCCAAATCAGTAAAGGGTCGCGAGAGGACCGACTGGCACATCTGCTTAAATTCGAAAGCTGCGTCCTTTTTCATTTCAGTTTATCAATTAATTTATAAATTTATAATTACGGAAATCATAAATTGTTTACAAAAGAGCCTAAGACACCATAATGAACTTAACACTGAAAAAAGAAGAAGAACTGGAGTCGCCAGAAAACGCAATTTTCATTCTAAAACTTTTTAAAAGCACACAAAAACGCTTTTTTTGTCAAATCGTCCAAAAACGCTGAAAATTTGAATGTCACCCTTGCCCAAAAAGTTGGCAGAGGGCAGATTTTTTTTGTTCAATACGTGGCATTATAGGGCCTCAATAAACTTCAAACGCTAGAAGTGCTAAGAATACGAAAAAAAACTCGATAATGCTGCGCATAACAAATGCAGTGCATTGCAACGCATATGCCTCTTATGCAAACGGAAACAAAATATATTATGCGTCTATAGTCTAAATGATAAAAAAAAACATTTGCTTCAATCTTTTTTCTGCGTTCACACAATAGCTGTCTGCTTATACCATAGCTTTTGGTGCGGTGTATGAGACGGTAACGTAACTGAATTAATAAAACGTGCTTTTTTCTCAGCTTAATGTGCAAAAAAAATAATATCTTCATTTACAATAGTAGTCACAGAATAAGTCCAATAGGATTTGATGAAACCATCTACAAAACGAATCTGAAAAATTGTGTGCTTACTTTATTTTGTACGGTTTTAAAAACTGGAGGAGGTGATTCATTGTGCATCTGACGAAAATAGATTCCCGTTATAACCAAACACGCAATGGAGCTGAAAGATGGCGACGAGCGTATGATGCGACTTCTGTATCTTACGTGTCGAGCATGCAACGACTTTGCAGTTTCCTTGACTAACCATGTATTACAAAGCAAACATAATACCGATTGGGAAAAATGGACCAACGATTCTTGTCGAAAGAACGGTTTAATTCAAGAGTTTTTCAATAAGTTTGAAAAATCAGTTACAGACAAATTGATCCCCGATATAGAAGAATGCGATACAACATTGCTCACAAATTTACTGTCTAGGCGTCTGGCAAAGGTTAAGCGGCTAAACACCTAAATCAGAAGTTGATGGTTGCCTCGAAAGAACTCTGAACAAACTGACAACAGTTAGTACTTTTTCATTGACACGGGTCGCGGGATGTTTCCGAACTTTGAGCGTCATTTCACTGATTCGTTACAATCTTGTAGCACTGGTTTCTAATAGTTTTTTACCTGGTCACGAAAAGTTTTTAGCTAATGAATTTCTGACAGACTATCAATTATAAATTGATAATGTCAAATATTAAGTGTTAAAATTTGAGTCGTGCACGGAATCGATAAGTTCAATTCGCTTGCCTTAAGTGTCGATACGAAATTATTGGAATATTTGTGCTCGGCGTGGGTTTTTTTTCTTCAGACAAACTTCGACCTTTTAACTAGCCATTTTTGGCGGCATTTAAAATATCATTCAAAACGTATTTGTGTCTTGAGCTCAAATTTGAAAAGATATTTTACTGATCATTTTTCGTTAAGTTACGGGGGTTTAAAGATTGCCATTTTGGCCAATTTGGGACAATTAATGCGCGATATATTTCGCGCTATTAACGCGTAAGCGGGGAGTTAATCCGTCTTAGAAATTGTTCCAAATTGGTTGAAAGAAGCTTGTTTGCCATAATTGATTTGTTACAAGGAGAGAAATCTATTCTTTTGTACTTTATTAGGCGTGTGGAGGGAGTAGTAGATGTTGGAAGTTAAGTGGGGGGAGGTCCCTGCTGACCCCCATGTATTAGGATAAAGAATAGAACATCTGGTCTGCAAGCTATATATTAAGGTAATAAATAGAACCTACAATGTATTCAGATAGGGAGTAGAATTGGTAAGGTTTCATGGTTTGTGTGATGGTAAGAGAATGGTAAGAAAAACTACTTTTTTTGGAATTTGTGTTGAATTGTCTAGTTTTTTTGCGAAAGTTTTGGCGCGTGATATCTAATTCGTAAATATCAATGATTGATTACATGTGGAGTGTAGAATGAAGGTCATGTATTTAGTTTGTTAGTTCATGTTAAATCAGTGGTAAAAGTTTCTGGGCAAAATTTAGATTTTTTATCAGAAAAATTGAAAGTTTTCAAAAAAACTTTCAAAATTGATAAGATTTGTTATAATTCGACCTACTAACTAGTTTTTAGATATTTTTACTTTTTGAAACAGTGCTCCATATACCCGAAACTATGCTGAAACCTACTGAAACTTCGTATATTAAATTTACTACCATAATTTCCACTTACAAATATAAAACTACATATTTACACAAAATTACATTTAAAATTCAAAACATGCAAAATCTGAATAAAATTCAACTTTGTCTGGTAGAACTTAACAAGAAGAAATGCTCAATAATTTGCGTAAAATCTACACATATTATCAGTTTCTTGTAGTTTTCGGGGAACCATTTGCCAATACTTTATTGTTAGAAAAAATTTTACTTTTTCTACCCAAAGAATTGGCAAAGTAGTAAGTTTTCTCCAGTCGAGCAATCATGATCCAGTGTTCTCCTTTATCTTTGCTCGGAGCTGAATCGATTATTGCAAAATGTATTTCTTTAGCTGAGTTACTTTGTAAGTGGATTAAGATCGCAGATACTTGAACCTGATTTCAAGAACTTTTCCATAATTTGCAGAAGGAAAAAATTGTCCATCTTTGCAATTGTTAGCTAATTTACATCTAAAATAAAGCAAAAGATAGTTGGATAGTGTAATTTAGGATAAAAAAAACAAAGATTTATGACTTACACGCATTTAGGTATGAATCAGGTAGTGTACTGAACAAAGACTGTTGAATACTGCTTTACAGTGTATGTTGTGGTAGTTTCTCGGGTTTTCAATTGAACATCTTTCATTCTCCGTTTTTCTGGAGTTTTAGCTCCGAAGATAAACAAAATAGACATTACAGAGACAATAACGATTGAAAGTCCCAAAAAAATTACAATAATTTTAAAGGAACCTGAAAACTCAAAAAAGTTGAACATTTTTAGCGACTGTTCCGAATATGCCAAATTGAACGTTTGATAGTCTTTCTCCCAAGACTATAACTTCAGTTATAACTTCAGAATAACTGAAAAAAAAAACTTTTCTAATCTCAAGCTTTCTCCATCAATATCTGGATAATGTAATTGTGCAGCTGCATCCTGCAGTGAAGTTGAATCAAAAGCAAGAATTTGGTGATTTTGAAAATCTTCCATAGGAACAGCTGGGAACAGCTGGGAAACCTCCGTTAAACTGCATTGCTTTCTTTAGTGTGTAACATAAGGGTGACAAGGAGAAATTGTATCTAAAATAAAAAACAATTGCTCTTCAACGCCAAAAAACTCAAAGCTCTCTCAAATGAAATTATTGATGGTTGAAAGGGTTTCCATGAAAAGATCCCACAACAGCAGAATTAGTATTCATTGCAACAGCTATTCTACTTTCTGGAGCATTATTGAAAACTTTTGTTTGTATGATTTGGCTTTGACGAGATGCAATGATAAAAGTTCTTGCTATAGTTTCCATGTAATTGTATTGAGCAGACTTAATTTCCAGATTGCATTTCTTGTTTTGATTATCAGTTTCAGCAAACAAAAATCTGTTTTTAAACAGCGAACAATCAACAGTTTTCAGAGTGATATTCGAATTATAAGACAGCAAGTAAAAATTAAGTGTAGCTCGAATAGTTTAGCTCAAATTTTGGTATTTGGTAGTAACAGCTTTTCGCAACTAAACAAATCTTTGGCTAGCCTCCCATAGAGCAAAACATTTATCCCTGTTCTTAAGGAATTTGCTCTAGCAGTGAATGTATGCATATCAAAGGCATCAGGAAATTCTTCAAAACTGTATTCAAGGCAAGCAAGTTTTTCTTTATTACTCACTGCCGATGAGTTGATTTCGTTCGGTATTTGTGCCTTATGAGGATATAATCAATCAGTATTGTAACCATTACGTTTGAAAAAAAAGTAACAATTGGAGAATAGTGAACCTAGAAGATTGTTTCCAAAAGCTAAGTAAAGTTTTCGTTCCTCATCTGAATCCTCCTCGTATATTGCTTTATGTTCTGCTCTTTCTCTCTTGAAAGCATCAAACAACCTTCCCTTGAATACTTGAAGCTTTACACTAAGATGGTTATCAAGCATATCAAAGTAAAGATTACGATCCGTTTCAATTTCAAACTCAATACTGCTTTCAACTGTAGAAGTATTGGGGATTACTTTTTGAGTGTAACATGACATAATTGTTTCAAAACTGAGACTTTATCAAAAACTGCCAACGAAGATTTTGCAAAACCTCCGTACTGAAAATGACCACTTGTTTTATACTCATTTTATTTCGACAAAAATGTCGTTACAAAAGCTACTGTATTTCGATCTACGTTTTTGAGAAATGTATCTGGTTCCACCAGTTCTACGCTTGAATTTTTTTTCCAACTCCCAATTGTTTCTGAACTATTTTTGTTCTCACCTCTTTGCAAAAATTTTAAATTTTTTGCACCCACTAACAACTCCCCAATCTCTGGAGCAGTGATTTCAAATATATCTACTCCAATTGTTTTTGCAGCAGGGACTTTATATTTTTTAAAAAGGGGATTGCAGTTCTCGCAAGAGTTTGCGCAAGAGTTCCTCTTCCACGTTGTTTTGCATGTCCTCGAAAAATGGGGAAATCAATTGAATTTTGAGCAACCATCTCGTATGATGACTAAATCAAAAGTGATTATTCGAAATCTTGCGATACAGGAAAACGACTCTTGTAGTTCCTACGGACACAAAAGGAACTTTTACACATGTAATATTTCTTAGATCTTGATACTCTGGAAAGAGTTTTCTAACATTTTTTTAACTATAAATTTGTAAAGGACTGATAGTTATTGTACTGTCTTTTAGAAATTTCATCTCCAACTTTTTACTTAGGAGATGAATAGACTACAACGCAATAAAGGAGTTTTTGTATCACCGACTATATTATATTCTATAATAACGGTATATATCATCAATAAGGTATTCTTATAATTTCGTAAAAACTCTGAGGATAATGCGGTCTTTTTCCACTCATTATCGCCGTTGTTTGACTTTGTTCTAAGTCAAGACCAAAAACGTTACTCAAATAAGAATTTTTGATAATAAACACTGACTGATTCTCAGGTTAATGATCGGCTATATTTTGTGCAGTTTTATCCACTGATACATATATTCCGTTATATTCAAATGCTTGAACACCCAAACGTTCTCGAATTTTGTGGTTCATGGCTACAACAAATTATACAAATCTTGGATACAAAACTGGTTTGATATGCATCGGTTCAATCTGTCTTTTCTCCGCAGCTTTTTCTCCACCATCTACGAATGTAAACTTTCCCTCATTTTGGTTCGGAGACGGATATGATGTTTCTTAAATAGCAACCTTCCATTCTTCTTTCAAATGTTTTTCTTCGGGTAGAAAATTTGTTAAAAAAAATTAGACTATGATTCGGATAACAATTAAAACAAGCGTTAGAAACTAGCTCAATAAAAAAGAATTCATGACAACTGATCGATTGAAAATTAGTTTAGAAAATGATTTATCATTAATCTGAACATTTTGCCATCCCTTTTTTATAAATTTTTCTAGATTTTCTTCTTTGTCGAGATCTTTGATGATGTATGTAGGAGGTTTTTTTGTAGATATAACCTTCTCTGACATTCGCACTCTATCTCCAACTTTATGGTTTGGTTTCCTATACTTTGTTAGAGGTTTAATGTACAAAATTGAGAGTAAGTTAGAAATCGTGACATCTCTAGGTGATTTCCCAAAAGATCTACTGACGCAACAATTCCTTGTAGACACAAACTGAGGTAACCTGTGAATGAGTTCTTCCCCATGATCTTCTATGTAACGGTAAATGATTTAATTTAATGATTGAATGGCTCTCTCTGCAAGAGTTTTTTCGAGAAATCAATTTTGTGAAAGATTGTAAAGTGTCTTTGGCATATTTTGTTTTTAATGTTTGAACTCTGACAAATCGCAAAAAAAAACATCAACGGCAACCAATAAA